GCAGGAATGTATGTCATGTTTTGGTAGCATCAAGGACCTGTACAAACAAATTGTAGTAATCATGCTTGCATGTTTTACACTCTGTGTTATCTAGCCGTAGACATGAGGAGCCTGTAACTATTGTTTGTACACTGAGGGGCAGCAAAGTTTTTAATCTTCTTGGGTTTTGATACTGTCATTGGTAACCATACTTCTATAAACGAGACCTCTTTTCCTTGGCCACTTTTGCTAACCGCCACCAAATCCAGATACTGAAAAATCATGAATGATTGTTACTGGTGTCTAGTAGCCTGTCTTACACGCTCCTTTCGCCAGCATTCAGGAGACCAAAAGCACTTTTTTAAAGATTGAGTGAAAATTATTGTTGCTAGAAGCAGAAATGATATGAAATGATTGATAAAGTACTTTTTACTACATTCTCAGTTGCATTCAGTGAACTCCTTTATAAAGTGGCTGCTAAGCTCAGGACATTAATTTGGGGTATTCATGTCATGAAAGAATCCCCCTCAGATTTTAAAACTGCTGCTGTTCCAAGAAGTAGTAACTACTAACTTCTGAGTGGGCCTAAAGTCAAGATTAACAGACCTTTAAAACACAATGCTATCAGAAGCCTTGAGCTATTATTGAGTAGAGGTTGCTATAGCAGTATGTTGCTTCTTGTGAAATGCAGTCATATGAAAGCAGTGGGTCAGTGTAAGGTGATGCTACTAGCTTAGCAGTGAGTCTCCCGTAGCAACTTAATTAAATTCAAATACATGGAGTGATACATTATCCAGTGAGGATGCAGACCAAAAGGTGAAATAGATGGTATTTTGGCTAATTCAGTAGTTTGTGCTTTTTTTTCTGTTTTCTGACCTTGGAATTCCATGCCCATGAATTGACTGAATACTGTTATCTGGAGTGTAAGCCACTTGTTTCTACAGGATATTAGATACAGAGCAAACAGCTTTTTGCTTCTGAGAACTGTGAAGCTCGATAATAATAATAATGACAATTGCACAGCAATACTGTGAAAAAAAATCTTCCCACTGAAGCTTTTAAAGTAAATTTCTGCAGTTACAGGTACAGAATAAATAGTTTGTTCCTTCTAGCTGAAAGGTGATGCCTGGGATGCTTTGTTTGATGGCACTAGTGATTTTGTGCTGTGATTGCACTCTGTTAAAGTGCAAGGGGAGGGATATGTGTGACTGCTGCAGAATGTTAATTAAAGAAGGTGGATTCATTAAATATTAACAATCAAGACTGATCATCGTGGAGCCGGTCCTAACTCCAGCCAGTGTTTGGGGGATTACTGAGGTCAGAGACCTGATTGCAGTGGGCCCGTAATTGCATCCCAGAATTTCATCCCAGAATTTAATCTCGCAGAGATCTGCAGTTAGGTAGGGTTCTTGTTGCTGAAGATTGTGTGATTTAGATAATAGGCAGCTGTTTTTGAATTGTTTTTCCAAAGATATATTGGTACAGGTAATTTTTTAAAAAACTTGAGTATCAACTTTGTGCAATGCCAAGAAAGGACAGAGGTCCCCAGATCCCACATTCCTCAAGGAAGTCCCCCAAACCACCCTATACTGGCTGCTGAGTCATAGTTTATTTGTTGAAGCTGGAGAATGGAGAGAGATTTGTGAATCTGAGAACAGATGTGAACCTTCAGTTGAAAGATTCAGTAGAAAATGAAACGTGTTTTCCAGTATAACTCTGGCTATATAATTATTATTATTTAGAATATATTTACTAAATAATAACGTTCCTGGAAGCCTGGGTGATGCTGATGTTCACTTGCATTCTTGTAGCCAGATTACTCCTCTTTACTGTTCCACAGTAGTCCTTGAGGCTGTGTTTGGGCAAGACTTGCAAGTTGTCCTTGTTTTGCCTGTGCTGTGTGTTTCCCCACAGCCCTGGAAAGAGACCATTAAAAAAAAAAGTGACAGAAATGAAGTTATTTTTTACTTTTTGGGGTGAAAATGCAAGATCTAATTTCAGAAAGTGCATGAAGCTGTGCAGAAGAATTGCAGAGCCCAGCTGCTCTGCAGAGTTGTTGTGAGGCATGGTGCTAGAATTGTTGATTTTCTGAGCATGTGGGGTTTCAGCAGCTGGCTGACAAATCGCCATGCTTGCCTACCCTGAACATAACTGTGACAATAACATAGCACTTGTTGTGCATCCAGCTCGCACGCTGCCCACAGGAACGCCGCTGTGGGGAGGTGCGTGGGCTGCCCATGTCCGTTGTTCTGGCGCGCCTGCCTGTTTGCCTGCCCCTTGTGTCTCCCTTCCTATTTGAAAAAGGAGAGACCAGCAGCAGAAGCCAAAGCAGACCCCAACTGAATTTGCTTGTTATTAAAGGCAGGAATCTTTGCTTTTACAGGTCCAGTGAACTTGGCATCTGATGAATTGTCACAGGATGATACGAAGGTACAGATTTCTCCTTATAGAAATAGCTAATATTCATTTAGGTTGGGAAGCAGCAACCTCTGCTTGGCTATCTGAGCACCTTCCAGAGCTAACAAATAAATAAGGTGACTAATGCCGGCCAGACAACATTTCCTGCACGTTCCTATCCTGTGGGAGTAGTTACGTATGTAGATGATTATTATTCGAAGGAACCTGTTATGTGATTGTGGGTCGGAAAGCTGGGCTGGAGAAGCAAGCTCTGATTCTGGACCAGAAAGCTCTTGTGTTTATGGTGAACCTTAGTGTCTTCAGGGAGCTTGCAGCTCAGCTGTCAGTCTCGGGGGAGCCCAACCTGTCTTGCACAAGCTCCGTTCTTGAGATGGCATGATTTCTTACATCTGAGGAGTTAGTCTCAGAGAGAGACCTTGTGAGTGACGGTGAGTCCTTAACTGGACTTAACTGGGAGAAATGCTTGCTGTAAAAAATCTGGCAATTCCCGTTGTCTTCTATGTGGAGATATCTAACGGCTTTTGGGGGGGCACCAATATTTGTGAGAGTCAAATATTTGTGGTTAGTCAGTTGTATTTGATCTCTAGTCTTACATTCTGCTTTTTATTTATATGTATCTGTTTACAAAACAGAAAATCTTAATGGTTTTTTATCATCTTTTAAAGCAGGAGCTTGATTATTAGCTCAATGGGGTGTGTAGCTAAAATAACTATTTAGGTTAACAGAAACAAAATCTGGTAAAGTCTGGCAAATCTGGAAAAGGTGATATCTTCTCAATAGCCAATGACTATTGATTTTTTTAAATAACATTTGAATTTAGTGGAATGTTTTTGGGCTGACACTTTTGTTTGGTTATTGTTATAGAAGTGATGACCACTTAAGTTATTTTTTTAATTGCCAGTTATGCAGAAGCTTGACCATTTGTTTGGGATTCACATGTTGCTGTTGTGACCTGTGTCATCTAGAATTATGTCTCTGCAGCATGCACATATTTTGGAGTCTATGAAAATACATGTTGGGGCAGAATATTGCTACTCATGAGTCTTGCTGGGGGCAAAAGGTTCTGGTCTTGTTTTGGTGTAGTAGAAAGGCCATAGTTGAGTATATAAAGAATGAACTGACACATGATATTTCTACAGGTGTGAACAGCTCAGGCATTAGAGAAGGAGGCATCTTAGCAATATAGTGCTCTGTCCTCCAAAACGCTGTGTATTGGCTAGTCAGGGCATAGCTAAACTTTGTATGAGAAGAGCAAGCTGAAAATTGGAGTTTGAATGGAAAGTGAGATAGGTTAGGTCTCCAGTTATGTTTAGAGTTTGAGTCCATAGGGTTCATGTTCATATCTTAGAGTGTGGGAGTGGCAGGCATGCCGTATCTGTTGCATTTATTAAAATGGCTAAAATTAAGTGACTTGTGCTGCTTGATAGTGTTTGCACTGAATTCTGAAAGCCTGTAGCACAGCTTGTAACTAAGTGCAAATGCAACTATTTGTCTTCAAAGATACAGCTCAAGTTTTCTGTTTCTAGCCTTTCAGAGACTCAGTGGTACCTTCTGAAGAGTATGAAGATCATGTCTTGTTGGGCATAGGTAAGAAATAATTAACCATTTTGACTTCCCAAAAGCTATTGGTGTATACTGTGGTGCCAAATACACACAAGGCAGTTTCTTTAAAAGGGGTGAAGGTCATTGATCTGGCAGCCTAGCCTGGCAAAAGATTGGTCAGTTATACCTATGTCAAAGAGGGAACCAAAGCATCTCTAGTATAGGTAGATGGTGTATCCAACAGTATCATGATACCCTATAATTTTTCAGTAGTATATTAACTGTTGTAGGAACAACCATAATAAAAAATAATTTCTGATAGAGACAACATATATGACTGAAGATTAAATGAAGGATGGAGAAATGTTTAGGTGCCACAGCAGTGAGTTATGGGGCTGTTAGGAGAATATAGCCAGTTGCACTAGACAGTACATTTAGAGACTGAAACTCAAATGGAAAGGTGAGTATCTTCAAGTTTGGGGGAAGCTCCAAGAACATGTGTGCAAACATGGGCTCGTGCAAAGCACAGCAAGGTGGAAAAAGACAAGTAGCTCTGCTAGTGGCAGCTGCTGTGCCAGGCAGAGACTGCCAGGCTGGCATCACTTGCTCGTGGTCCAGTGCTGAGCTCAGAAAGAACAGCCCAAGTGGTGGCATTCAGGCAGCCCATATGCAAACTTTGGCAGCTGCGAAATGAAGAATCGCACTGTGTTTATGAAAAGGGAGGGAATATACATGCATGAATGGGGGTGGTATATCATAGAGGGAAATGAGCTGATGTAAACTCAGAGACACAGTTGTAAGATAAGAAGTTGATAGACTATTTTAATAACCTGTCACTAAAATCATCATCTAGTTATCCGTTTTTCTAGTAATTGTTATGCCAAATGCCTGTGCTTCAACCATTTAATCATGTTTGTCTCGCTCTCCCATCCAAGGAATATGGGAACTGCATAAGGGAATTGGGAGTAGTAGCAAAGATATTAGTATTCAGAGTTTTCCTGACTTCTGTGCTTTTAAACATAGGACAGCATAGCAGTCTTTGCCTTGCTCAAAAATGCAGTGCATATGCATGAGATGTTTGTGCCCATATGACCTAATCATTTTCATCAGGCAAGACCAAAGCAGTGAACTATATCTCAGCATAGAAGGATGTGGAGCCATTAGGGAGTGATTGTGGTTTGCTAATCTGAAGCCACATCTGTTCCAGTCTCTGCTCCAGTAATACCATCTGGAGGAAACATAAGGTAGCTTAAAAGCTGACAGTGGACGTTCTCCACCCTGAAATTATAGCTGATACTTCTTTTTCTGACCCCTGAAATGCCTTTTCCTTCTAAGGCATCATTTGCACAGTGCTGCTTATGACAGCTGGAACAGGAGCCAGGCCCTCTGGCTTAAGACCAGCTCAGTCTCCTCTCTGATGCTTGGATAGGCAGCTGCAGCAGATCCTGAGTCCTCTGCAGGCAACAAGCAACTGACTTCTGCCATGTTTCATACTGTTAGGACTGGTAGAGTATAGATTCTTAGAGGAGCTTTTGGGTAAAAAAAATGGTGAATTTGCATATAACTTGGAACAAGATTTAGGTGTGTAAAATTTGATTTAAATATATTTTCTTAGGCATCTTATGTATTTATAAAGTAGAATTACAAATATGAATATAAATGGTTAGATATACATATATGTGTACATATACACGTATATAAATACTTTTTGTCCTGAGCACAGGCTTAGTTTATATTAAACTAAGAAAAATTCCCTGTTGTACCTCTTATCTGAAAAAGAATCAACCCTCTGGCTCTTTCCTAAATTCTGATTACCTTGTAGTACATTTAAGAAGTTGCAGAGAAGCTTCAGCAAAATTGGTTTTACTTGTTTTATAAGTAAGTCACTGTAATTGAGAATGTGTTTCCTTTATGTAAGGACTGGAACATGAACTTGCTGCCAGCTGCACCATGGGCTCTCCTTGCCCATCTCCCAGTTGCATACTCGAGTTGGCTGAAACCCTTATAACATAGATATCCAATGGAATTTTGCCATTGACCTGAGCAGCCTGAAGGGCTTCCAGTCAGCACCATGTGTGAGGTCTGAAGGGGCTGAAGTGCAGGCTGGGGAGTGAGTGGGCTATTGGGTGTGCAATAAAAGGTGGAAGTGGGGAGAGACGAAGGAGGGTGGAAATAGTTTGGTGACATCCAGAAATCTATAACTTAACTTAAGCTGGTTTTATTTGTTTGTTTGAATGTAAAATTCAGTATATATTCTAACCTGACACATATAACCGTATGGCTAAATACCATAGTTTTATTACCCTGGATTGTTTTAAACTACTTTTTAAAAAATGGTTTGCTTGGCAATGTTGTTAAATGGGAATGTTTTTGGCAGGAAAAGCGCATAGTAGGGGGTAAAGAGAGAAATGGAAATGGTTGTCAGTGGGGGAGAGGAAGAGGGAAACCAGTGGAGGGGATTGAGTGAAGAAGAATGAATAGAAATGAGCAAACTCTGGAATCTCACTGGGAATTTGGATGCGTAAATCAAAGAGGACTTCTAAGAGTAAGAATGTGAGTGCTTTTTGAATGGGTACAAATTCTCCCACTTGTCACTTTTTTTTCCACGTGGTTCTTGCTTTTAGAAACCTTTACTAAAAATTAATCTCATCATGGAATATTTTAGGTTGGAAGGGACCTTTTAAAGAACGGGTGGCTCCTGGAAGGGCTCTGCTGTTCCTGCTCTCTGTTTTCTTCCCCAGCCTCACCTTTCAAAGGTATTGACCATTCTGGCTCTTGCCCCACACACAACGAAGTTTTGGGAGTAGCTTTGCAGGAGTGCTTGCAACAGTCGGTAGGATGCTAAAAGGGTACCAACTCTCCTTGCTCTTTGTCGTCTTCATCTTTGAGTTGGGACCTGGCTGCCTTAGGCACCATTTGAGTCTTGTAGTTCAATTTTGAGAATTATAGTTCAATTTTTTGTGCAAGAGTCTTCTTCTCCTCTAGGATCACTGGAGAGTCACTAGGGTCCTGCCCCTATGAATGTTGGAGTGGGAATCATGGAATCATAGAATCATTTAAGTTGGAAAAGACCTTTAAGATTATCAAGTCCAACCCTTAACCTAGCACTGCCAAGTCCACCACTAAACCATGTCCCTAAGCACCACATTTACATGTCTTTTAAATACCTCCAGGGATGGTGGCTCCACCATTTCCCCGGGCAGCCTGTTCCAAAGCTTGACAGCCCTTTCAGTGAAGAAATTTCCAGGTCCAATCTAAACCTCCCCTGGGCCAACTTAAGGCCATTTTCTCATGTCCTGTCGCTTGTTATTTGGGAGAAGAGACTGACCCTCACCTTGCTACAGCCTCCTTTTCTCCAGGCTAAACAACGCCAGTTCCCTCAGCTGCTCCTCATCAGACCTGTTCTCCAGACCCCTCACCATCTTCGTTGCCCTCCTCTGGACACGCTCCAACACCTCAATGGCCTTCTTGTAGTGAGGGGCCCAAAACCACACACAGTATTCGAGGTGCGGCCTCACCAGTGCCCAGTACAGGGGCACGATCACCTCCCTGCTCCTGCTGGCCACACTATTGCTGATCCAGG